CATTGAATATTGTTGTTTGGTACATATTTACGATGGGATATAGGTCTATTTGTCCTGCTATACGGTAATCTAGGGTGAGTATTACAGTATTTCATAGTGCTAAGGGATTTGATGTCATCATATTTTTCTATTTGCCTACTGTGGATAAATTCGTTAAAAAGAACAATGAAAACAAATTGAACTTACCATTCCTTTAATTACTTTTCCGAAAACAACGTGTTTACCATCAAGCCATTTGGCGCTGTTTAGCAAGATGAAGAACTGTGAGTTGTTCGTATCTGGACCAGCATTTGCCATCGACACATATCCTGGACCCCAATGCCTCAAGTTAAAGTTCTCGTCAGCGAAATATTCTCCGTAAATACTCCTTCCTGAGAATAGAAAACAAATTATGTGAATGTCTGTATTCAGGTTGTCTGCTTCCTTGGTCTAATTCATTGCCTAAACTAAACTAGAGAAGAGAATTGTTTGTACCTCCTGTACCGTCTCCACTTGTGATGTCACCCATTTGGATTACAAAGTCAGGCACCACACGATGGATTATTGTGTTTTTGTAGCTCATATTCTTCTGAAGACGAGAAAAAAAGACATAGTGATTTTATATGTATAATTATACGAATACTCAATAATATAGGTGTAATGATTATGTTTAAAATTTATTTTACATCTTATAATTTTTAGTTTTTCTTGGACGATCGACTATTTATTAAATTTAATGAGTGATTAATTGATCTAATTATTGCCATTGTCGATTGAATGCACTCTCATAAATTACCTTGGCCGTTTTCACAATACAATATAATAAAAGAAAATAACGAAATGGGAACTCCGCAAGAAATCCGATTCGGTTGTTTACAAAGAAGGACCAAAATTGATTAAAGTATATTATAAAAACAAGTATAACAAATAAAAAAAAAAACAGAATGTTGTAAAAATCTGGAGAAAATGTACGTGTTTGTATTTAGAGTAGGTAACTTACATCATTTCTCCAGCCTCCTCTTGCTAGAGCAGCAAAGTTCTGTACTGTGACGGGACATGTCTCGCCAAAAAGTCCAACCTCGAATCTTCCGATTAGTTCATCATCAATCTCAATGTCAAAGTACACTATTTTAGTGACAAGTAAATCGTTGGTTCGATCTCGGTCTGGATCTTCCCATGGCTTCACTTTCTTTGTGCTTCTTTTTTTGGCATCCACCGACATCAATGATGCCAATAAAAATATACACACGCTTAAGTAAACTTCTAACTTCATGATCTGTGAACAAAGATACATGTTGTTGAATTCAAAGTTACAGAGATGAATATGAAAACAACAATTCTGAGCTTTTATAAATTCTAGAAATACTTAAATTATTTTGCGAAGTTTACAGCAAACATAAAATACATGTTTAAATTAATTGAATCTAAAGATCTTTTTTAAAAATACTAAACCAAAACTTTAAAAAAAGTAGGTTTACTTACCACCTGAGTATATTTCTTACGTCTTCTACAATTAATAGTCAACTTTATGGCAATACGCTTTACAGCGGGCATTTATATAGTATTTTGATGGGGGCCGTTGGCCAACGGCAAACCAAAAAGCTGTCGCCTCTGCCAACACGACAAGCTCTAAACATCGGTTTATGTTAAGCATTTCGTAACAAAAGCTATAAAACAACTGTAGGCCTAATAATGAATCGCTTGTTGACAATAGCTAATTGCGTATAGTTGCCTAATTACAATTTTGTTCCACGTGTCAGTTTCCAGTGTTGATCGTTTGCAGATATAGATAGGCCTATATGTGTATTTTTCTTTATAACTCACACACTCACTCACCCCAACCCCCTCTCTTTCTCTCTCTCTCTCTCCCTCTCTCTCCCTCTCTCTCTCTCACCCCCTCCATTCATTCATTCATTCCTTTAATTGTTCATTTGTTTTTCATTTGTTCATTCATTCATTCATTTATTCATTCATTCATTTTCATTCATTCATTCATACATTTATTCATTCATATTCAATTTCAATTTAGGCCTAATGGATATCGCTTTCGCAACTGTGGTACACGTTGGACAATAACCAACAGTGCATCCAAATATAAGAAAAATAACAAACTGGAAGTCACTTAAAGTAAAATGTATATACAAAGTAAAATTTATTGGTTACATAAAATATATATA